ATTGGTCTTTTTAATAAGTTATTATTTTAGCTGATATCTTGGCCAAAAGTTGAATAGCAACTACAGCTGACCCAGGAAGAAGGCAAAAAAAGAGTATTATCAAGTTTTATTAACAAACTGATGCCAACAGGGCAGCAAAACATACAAAATCCGAACAGWGGAGCTCAGAGGAACAAACAGCGAGTTGCACAGACAGAGAGGTCAGACTGCACACAGAATCCAGAGGTGAGTTAACGAGGGGATGATGGAGAACACCTGGGCAGAGACCTGCAGCGCTGTCAGTTTAACGACTGGGGTTTTAAATCTTAATAAAGGTAAAGTATTTAGTTGTATATTCCACTGGGTGAATATTATCTCTTTCAGCTCAGTTACTAACCTCTGACAGGTTATTCACATTGGCAGGTGTTGGAGCTGATCACAGTCAGATCAAAGCAATACTCACTGAAAACCTGAAGTTTAGAATAGATATTCAAACTGGGCTGAGTCACTGGTTTTGATGATAGAACACCCTTTACTGTAAAAAAAATCTTTATCTAATGAAAGCAAAAACATCCAGTAGTTGTTTCTGCTTCAATGGCTTTTAATTTCCTGTTTCGCGCCGTATCTCCAAACACCCACAGCTGACTGGACTGAGAGATGAAGGGATGGAGGCAAAGCCAGGGTCACTCGATGAATGAATGAAGAAGAAGGKGGGGGTGAGGGAGGGGTGGGCTATATGTTAGAATGTCTGCTCAGTCAGATAAGAAAAAATAAGAACAATGTGCCACAGCAGCATAAGACTGATCATCTTTGAAGATCAGGAGGACCACAGACCAAGAACCCAGTCTTCTGCTGATGTCATGTGTTCATATAAGACCCCACCAGTCTGAGGCACTCACTCCTCCTCCAAACTGTCCAAGTAACGGTCTGAAGAGTCCTGATGTTTCAGTTTTACCATAAATTTCCACAAGTTAGAAGAAAGCAACAAGACAGTATGAGAAAAAGAGTTTGAAGCAGATCTTAGAAATATTTTCTAATTCACTACAGTTTTTAAAAGGCAGCTATTTTTCCCAAAACACCTGCAGTGCATGCAAGGAAAAGTTTCAAAGTTTGCAAGTTTTTTTTTTATATCATAAATCTGTTTCACGTCTCATTGAGGCATACTGTCATATCACCTTGGTAATTTGATCTGCTGAAACTTTAACATGAACAACACAAGATTAACTTCCATTAAAACATAGCAGATGGTGACAGAGTGTCTTCTCCCCTGCCTCTTTTAAAGGTTAGACACTTTGTTGTACAATATTTATAGCTCAGGTAGTTTCAGATTCAGCAGATTAATGTGCTGCTTATCCAAAACTGAAAATAATTTTATATTTTAAAATAACTTTTATTGTATGTACAGCTAACTTGTGAGTAATTAAAGCACTATTTTATTGGATCCAATTTTGCCTGGCTGCTTTCTCTCCTTTTGCTTGTGCCCTATTGGATTATTGAATTTCAATTTCACCTCAAACATAAAAAGCAAAAAAGCAAATATGAAAGTTATTTATTTATTTTAGTGCGTTTTGTTTCAAACATATGCTATATTTTAGTAATTTTGTCTTCAAGGTAACAGAACCTGATGAAATTTTAACCCATTTTCATCCCCTGCATTCACTTAACAAGAGGTTTTCTTTTCATTGCAATTGAACAAAAAAATGTGAATTTTAAAATATAGCTGAGAGATTCATTTACATTCTGTGATTTAAAAACCTTTCATTCAATTTCAAAGCACCTTTTCTGCATGTAAGTGAAGTTAAATAACCAGAACCATCAATTCTTTCAGTGATTTTAGTCAACAGGGCGGTTGCTGTTAGTTATCTGCTGGTGCTGCAGCGCCCCCTGCTGGTAGTTCTATGGTGTTACAACTTTTAATAACTTTAGTACGTCTTCATGCAAGTTTTAAACTCCCATCAGCCATTGCTTCAACGATAAGAAAATGACTTATTTTACTTTATTTATTTATTTATTTATTATTAAGTGGCAATAATGTAGGCAGATATTTATAGTAAAATGCTAAGTATTGTTAGTGTTGGCCAGAATTGTGATGCTGGCCATAATAATGCCACAAAGGAAACTAAAAAAATCCAAAGCTGCTAATAAAATATTTTCTTTGATGATGTTTCCTAAATCTGACAATAAATAGCTTTGTATTTGACATGAAAGCTTTTAGAAATCGGATTAATTTTTACCTGTAATAAT